GAACACTGTGCCAAATCCTGTGGGAAACCCTGTTATAGATGTTATGTTAATTAGTATTGTGGTGTTATTGTTACTAATAATATAATTTACTAACTCTAATCATAGATATACGACTGTTAGAGGGATTGGAGACTGGTCACGTGAGCGCATTACTACTACACTCACCATCCGCGTTTGTGTTAAGTATATTCATAGTCACGCCTTTTCTTTGACCTTGTGCTATTTCAATGGAGGAAGAGCAGAACCAACAGTACATTTTTGTGGGACTATTGTATTAGTTTGGAAGCTTAATACAGACAGGTAAGGTATTGAGCAGTTAGGTAAAGGTTTAAAGTAGTTGACTGGGTCCTTTATAAGTGCCTACAGATGTAGATACTGCAACAGTAGAGCCTAAAGGGTATTTTCCACTTGTTGACTTTGTGGGACTGAACCAGCTTACTAGAATCATGAATGGTTGTAAGACTTTCATTAATGGAGAGCTACTATGATGAAATATTTGGCAATGTCAGTTTTAAGTTGATGTAATATTTATTTTGGTATTTATAGGTCTGCAAATGGAAGGATAAAACTGAGGTTTTTGTTTAAAAGAATCATGAATATAGGAGATATGATGCTTCAAAGGCACTTATAGAACACAAATTTTAATTATTCTGTCAATATCATTATCTATTGTAGTATTCAATGCTTATTTGTAGACCTTATAGCATTTGGAGTAGTTTCTTGAAAGGATCATGATAGCTGCCATTGTGAAGGGGTGTGACTTAAGGCAAACACGGATGGTAGGCACTAATTGTGCTAATTGCCAAGAGTCTCCAATCCCTCTAACAGTCGTATATCTATGATTAGAGTTAGTAAATTATATTATTAGTAACAATAACACCACAATACTAATTAACATAACATCTATAACAGGGTTTCCCACAGGATTTTGGCACAGTGTTCATGCAGCTTCTTGTCAGTGGATTTTAAAGTTGCTCAAAATATGCTGGACAATTGCTAGGAGAGAATTTTCTAATACATGTTCTTGTGCTGTATAAAATTTTGAGCTGATATTGATAAAAATTGGCTTTTTACAAATTTTTGAAGTTACTCAAAGTTGGTTTACAATAGCAAGTAAAAAAGAATGCATAACATGTACTCCCTACATCTTGCTGTAGTAATACTACAAGGATGAACAAATGTTGAAGATGAAGTTTAGCTCACTGCTCTTGTGTGTACTACTAATGATTGATGAAGGAGAAGGATCTTATTGTATGGCTGATTGTACTGGATATGAACATGAACCATCACTGTATATAAGGACATGCTGTAACAACAGTAACTTAGGACAGACTATTCGTACGAGAGAAGGAAGAGTGAATACTATTACCATGTGTCCTAATGTAAGGCCACAAGCCTGTCCACCACTAGGTAAATAAACTACCGTATAGCGGAAAATTTTTGTGGCCCAAAATTTTCATGGATTTTGCGTTTTTTCAAAATTCACAAAAATATAATCTGCGAAAATTGATTCAATACAGTTAAAGATGGCCGAAAAGTAGAAAACCACAAAATTAAAGCCAAGAAATTGATTCTGGAACGGATCTGCAAAATTTTTGGGCCACAAAAATTTTCCACTATATGGTAATAGTTAAAGCATTACAGACACTATAAAACTAGATATCAGTGA